AGTTTTCCTAATGTCCAACCTAAACCTGCCCTGGTACAACTTCAGCCCATTTCCCCTCGTGACCTATCATGTTACCGGGGAGAAGAGGCCGACCCCCACCTCCCTACACCTTCCTTTCGGGTAGTTGTAGTGGACTACCAGAGGACCACAGGCGTCCCCCGCAGCTCCCTGGTCACCCGGGTGCCCCGTTCCTGCCTGCGCCCTGACGGCCGGCACCGCACCCCGTGCCCCGCCTCGAGGGCCTGGTGTGCTTCCTGACCCTTACCGTTCACAGCGTTTCTCGAGGTGCGCCCCCCTTCCCCAGAGCAGGAGCTGCCCTGGTCCCTGGCTGCTCAGACATGATGGGGGCACTTAGAATCATAGAATCGTTTAGGTTGGAAAGGGCCTTTAAGATCATCAAGTCCAACCGTTAACCTAACCCTGCCATCCCACCACTATGCCATGTCCCTAAGCAGCTCCTCTACCCATCTTTTAAACACCTCCAGGGATGGGGACTCGACCACTTCCCTGGGCAGCCCCTTCCAGTGCCTGACAACCCCTTCCATGAAGAATTTTTTCCTTATGTCCAGCCTGGTTGCCCTGGTGCAACTTGAGGCCATTTCCCCTTGTCCTGTCACCCATTACCAGGGAGAAGAGGCCGACCCCCACCTCGCTACAGCCTCCTGTCAGGCAGTTGTAGAGGGCGATCAGGTCTCCCCTCAGCCTCCTCTTCTCCAGGCTGAACAACCCCAGTTCCCTCAGCCGCTCCTCATCAGACTTGTGCTCCAGACCCCTCACCAGCTTCGTTGCTCTCCTCTGGACACGCTCCAGCAAAGCAACATCTTTGCTGTAGGGAGGGTCCCAAAACTGAACACACCTGAGGCTTTGATCACCTCACTGCAGCTACTGTCAACCTGCTGGCCTCCATGACCAGGCACTGAGACGATGGGAGCTGACAGCACTTGACTGCTGGGCCCGTGGAGCTCCGCCAAACCTAGGCGGCAAAAGGCCCTGTGGGGACAAGCAGAGGCCGCGCCCGGGCCCGGGCCCTGCCCCCACTTCCGCCTCCGCTGCCGCCATTTTGCCGTGAGACAGCACCGAGCGGGGCTGAGGAGATGTTGTCCACCGCTGCTTACTCGGACTGCAGGCCCGAGACGGGCTACGAGCTCGGCGCGCCCGTGCAGTACCGCTTCTCGCCCTACACTTTTAACGGAGGGTGAGGAGTCGCGGGGCAGGGAGTGGGGCGGGCTGAGGCACCCTCTTCCCGGGCGAGGGGGCCCTGAGGAGAGTGGCGGTAGGGCTGGGTCTTACTCGTCTTATTCTTGCCTCCCCCCGGCACTTTGTCAGCTCTTCGGGGTGTTCTTGCATGTCCGTGTGGCTTGGCACACTCGGGCTCCCTGAGCTTTTACGGACCAAAAGGACCTCGCGTTCCCCGCAGGGTTGTTTCTTTCTAGTGACTCAGGAAACCCATGTAATGCTCGTATTACCAGCTTTTAAACCTGTAACTGAGTTGAAAGCTACGTTGGCATAACTGGTAAAGGTAGGTGATGTTTTACAGGCACTTGCTCTGGGTTGGTGACAGGAGCTGGCCAGGATAGTATTATTTAGACTTTTTTTTTTTTATAATGCCTAACCGGTTTTTAAAGGATGTCTGTCTGTTATTTAATGATAGCACACATGTGGCAATCACAAAACTAGCTATTTGGAGGTAAATAATATAGGATAACTTCAGATTTAAAAAAGTGATGATAATTTAACTGTCATGGTACTGATGCTTAGTGCTTGGCTGGAGTGTTTTTGCTTGGAGAGCCAAACTGTTTTAGAAGTGTGAATCTTTCATTAGCAGGCATCTAAAATTGCTAGTCCATTGAGTCTGGTTTTTGCATTGTATAGAAACCCTGTTTTACCAAGTTTCCATACAGTTTTTTTGTCAAAGTAGTGAATCATGTACATCTGTTTTCTTCAGTATCTTCTTCCTCCAATCTTAAGTCACACACAGGGATGCGCATAGTGGGAAACGTAGCAAGGAATATAAGATGCTTGACAAAACCAGAGTCTGGATGTAGAACTACTGTCTAATCTGTTCCTCTGTTGCGTAAGAAAATACTTGTGCTAAAAGTCATGATTATATGAATATTCTTCTTAAAGGACTGTGTTGGCAATTGCTGGAGAAGACTTCTCAATCGTTGCCTCTGACACACGGCTGAGTGAAGGTTATGCAATTCACTGCCGGGACAGTCCAAAATGCTACAAACTGTAAGTCCAGATCTTGTAAGAATTGATACAGATGAAAGGTCTTTCCTATTGATGAACATGTCACCTGCCTGGAATGATTTATCACTTCCTTTAAGCAGAATTGTCAGAAAGAAAGGATAGTAACAAAATCGATTTTGGAGTTCATGATGACTCTTGCTGTAATGCAAGATGTGATGTTGTAAATACAGCCAGATTTCTTGTTGCATGCTCTTAAAGTTAGCTGATAACAGAACATTTTTAGCATGATACAAGGCTTAATATTAGCTAGGTGGACTTTTAGCTGGATAATCAAAAGAACTTTTATCTTAACCATAGCAAAACTTGGGGTAGCTGGTTCTGCTTCATCAGGACGCTTGGTGTTGGTATGCAAGTGTCCCCACAGCTGCCAGTGGTACTGTGTCTCTAGTCAACTATCTGGCACTTCAAAGAGGTGTTTGTTTTAGGAGAGGTAAACCTGTCAGTAGTTCCATTATTGAACTTTTTATGCTCATCGTATGCTTAGATTGACTTGCCCTCGGTTTAAAAATACATATTGTTTACATTCTTTTGACTGTGGCAGGTGCTTACCTAATAGGCTGCCATCAGCTATGTAAACAATTTTTTTGTTAATGTTTTTTTATTGATGACACAAGATCATATGAACTTCTGTTTCTCCTGGCTAGCTCCTTATTCTATCTTTGACTTTCTGATACTGTTCAAATGGAAATTACTGTGGTACAATCTGCATATTGCACGTGATGGCTCTGTGTAATTCTAGTGACAGGCTGAGAGAAGATTTCAGCTTAAATTGTTTTCTGAATGACTGCTTTGTGTTAATCTGTAAGTAGGTGTGAATGGTTGTAGACTCTCACTAATTCACTAGAATTTAAATTTCACATGTACGTCCCTGTAGTTAGCATTCATTAAAGGTTTTGAAACTGAGGAAAGAGCTAACCTTCTGTGATTCATCCACAGCCAGGTACCTTCTGTTTTGCTGACACAGAAAACCACATACAGCATAAATGTTACATGCCCGTGGCACAGTCTTAATGCAGTCCTCTCCCCAGAAGGATTAAAACTGGGCCAAGTGGTACGGTGTAACAGGCTTCCCGTTGCAAAACAGATCCTCTAGCAAGACTGAATGATGGTAATAGCTACAGTTAGGGGTGCATGAAGAAATAAAGAATTTCTTTTTGTCGGTCTTGCTGTGGAAGTCAGTGGATTGAAGACTGACATCTGCCTGGTGCTGCACTTAATGAGTCCTCTCCAAGATGCAGGTTGCAGCTACCTTTTGTAAACAAAATATCTGTTGCTACATTTTAGACAGCTGTTTCTGATAGTGTTAGAGAAACTGAAAATACATTTGGTGTTTTCATAATTATCTACTGTGTAAGAAAGTGGTATAGTTCATACTAAATCTAAAAACACAACAAAACTTTACATTTTACAGAACAGAACAAACGGTCATTGGATGCACTGGTTTCCATGGCGACTGCCTTACCCTTACTAAAATCATCGAAGCAAGATTAAAGGTAGCTAACTATCTTGTATTTAGAAACTTGTATTCTTAGTATCATGTTTGAGACTAAAAATACGATATGTTTTAAATACAGTTTTTGCTGGTTTTCTTCAAGTGTTTGTACCATAGCTATGGCTGTATAACTAGTGAAAGATCAGGCAGGAGAAATTGATGCTGTGTTCTTACTAGCTGGAGAGGATAATGTTAATGAGG